GTTCAAAAAATTTATCCGTTGTTGTTTTTGAGGACATTTTTTTTTTCTTCAGTTTTGCCTATTTATATTGAAATTTTCTTTTGACATATCTGTTCAAATTGTTCAAAGACTTTATCTGTTCAAAAAAAATTTTGTTCAACATTTTCTATCTATTCAATTTTTTATTTGTTTAAAAAATTTATTTGTTCAATTTTTTATCTTTATTTGTTCAAATTCTCATATATATATATATATATATATATAGAGAGAGAGAGAGAGAGAGAGAGAGATGTTCAAATGGCAAAGTTAGGAGGCATATCTAATCGATATTGTTGGTTTGCTCCAAGAATTGAGAGAGAGAGAGAGAGAGAGAAATCAAAATTTACTAAAACAAAATGGGCCAACATTCTAAATAAATAATCAGTCGAGTCCAGCACAACCCAACTAAGGTTGGCTGAAAGAAAGAGTCCAATATATTGGGGTGTGTTTTTTACTAATGAATTATGGGATCAGGGTTGGCCCATTTTAACAACTTAGTTCTGGATTTTATTTCTTTTACTTTTTGATCCAATTATAAATTTAGGTAGGTCCAGATTCCAATTGATCCAACCCAACGTAAGGGTTTAATAGATTTGGTGTTTGCTTCAATGTTTAATAATATTTGAGATTTTTTTGAAGGGGATATTTAAGATTGTTATGTAAATAAATTATATTTGAATATATTATTTGGGTGTTTACTATTAAATCCCATTTAGGAGAGTAACGCTAATGTTACTCTTTATTTTTCATTAGTTAAAATATAAAAATTGTATGTTTTTTATTTTACTTAACTAATTTTTCATCTATGTGTTATAATATTACTTTTTATTTTAAATATTTATCCACACAAACTAGCTTAAAGAGTCTCTCAATACTCTACAAATATAGTAGTCTCCAAGAATTTTGTTAAAATAGCTATCATACTAATCAATCCATTGGAGTGAGTAAAATAATATAAAATTAGTTATAATAACTAACAAATCTCTTTTAAATAGCCCTTTGGAGATGCTTCTATTAAAATTCTAGTGATACATGAGAAATTTTATTTCTACCCACCTAGATAACTCAGAATACATCTTTTCTCAATACGCATCCCTATTAATTTATTTATGGATTAATTTTCTTAGTCTACATATTTAAGATTACAATTATATTCTCACTCAATATTATTGTACACACACCACAGACCCCTTCTTTCTTTTCCACACACTGTTTGAAGACTTGAAAACCAAAGTCTGAACTGTCACCCACATGAATCTTTGAAGACCAAAGTCTGAAACATTTACTTTGTCTGAATGAAAACCTCCATTGAAAACATCCATGGAAGGAAGATCTCCATTGAACATTTATTGAAACCTCCAAAACAGTGTTGAAGGTAAGGAATCTTCCCATTTTGTTTTTACATTTATTATTTTGTTATTGCATTTTACCATTTTCAGATTTTTCTACACTCAATTGCCATGAAATCGTCGAATTTTTCCATGTTGGTTACGGTTTGAGGATGTCAGCATTGGTTTGCCGAATTTGTGCACAAAATTCGGAACTCAAGAACCAAAAATAGATAACATAGTCGACAGTTGTATTCCGAATTTAGAAAATAATTTCGGTTATATAGTTTAGAAAATTTTCAGTTTTTTCGATAGTTCTCTTCCGAGTTTAATAGATTTATTCGGTTCTGTAGTTTCGAAATTATTGTGTTCTTTTGGCATTGAAGTTCCGAATGCTTATTTTTTTCTTTTTCTTTTGTTGTTAGACCAAGTTACATAGGCCACCAAGATATACTTGTAAAATTTTTGTATGTAATTTATACTCATAACATGAATGATGTGAGTGTCATTTGTGAAATTATAAGAATAATGGTAGGTATTTTCATCGTAAATGAAGTGATCATAAGAGGAATCAAAAATAGTTTTGAATTTGAAATTTATGTTTTTAATACAATTTTATTTTCTCTAGAAGCAACCTTTGTGACAGTGAACTTTCTTCATGCTAGCTTCTGAAATTTTCTTGCTTTTTCTAGTAATCCCAATTCTGATTAACAATTATAGATGGGAGATAATTTATATATATCACAGTATATTATATATACGAAAGATGTGTACTTTAGATGTTGACTTTAGTTTTTGGATAAAAGTTATGAACAAATCACTTATTGTTTTTTACTCCTTGGTGGTATTTGATTCACTTTCATTTGCATGTGTCGAAACTTTGTTATGAATTGTATTATGAGTGAAGCATAAAATATGATGAGTTTACTTTCAACATTTATGATGGAGTCATGCTTTTGACCTCTAATTTCTGAGTTCAATGAAGTAGTCAAACTAGAACACAGATTGATTCTTAATTTGATATAGTCAAACTGCTTTAAACCAAGTTGGTAAGGTAAAAAACAAGATAAAAAAATTGTTAACTGAACTTTAACTAGGCTTAGTTTGGCTGCATATTAAATTCACGAACTTGGGTACTATATAATTTATAGTTTTTTTTTTCTTATTTTTCCTTTTGCTATTTTTCATATCACTATAAATGCTATATTGAATTGATACGAACAATTTTTCGTATGCAGATGGATGCCAATCCCAGTCAACATCGGTCAGTAACAGCTTCGAATAGAAGACTTCATGAATTAGAGAATGCTGAACGTAGACGTGGACGTGGATGTGATCGAGTACGTGATGATGACACACACATTGCTATGGATGATGATCCTGTACCAGTCATGGACGATATTGCTATGGATGATGACCCTGTTGATGCTGATATTGTTGATGAAGATATCCTTACTTAGCCATTTCCAAGAGGGCCAATTGATCCATCAATCCTTAAAAGTTTTAAAAGTCATGTTGCCCCAACTATTTGGAATGGTGCTGATAAAATAGGGCCCTTGAAGTGTCATAATCACTTGTCTAAGATTCGTTTGTGGCCGTGGTGGGAACAAGGAAACAACGCTACATTTGTAAATATTGTGGAAATGTCAGGACTTGCACACTTAGCTCGTTGCACGTACCACTTTGTCAACAAAATTGTAGTGTCTAGTTTTGTTGAAAGATGGCAACCGGAGACAAACACCTTCTATTTGGCTGTTGGAGAGATGACTATCACATTGGATGATGTCGTCACTATTTTAGGGCTTTTCATTGTAGGCAAATCTATTAGTGTGCGTAAGTTGTCCGAAAGGCGGGCCATTGCATTAGTAGTTAATACCTTGGAAATTGATGAGCAAGAGGTCAAACATGAGATGTCTAGTGCTGGAGGCAATTCAATGCGGCTTTAATGGTTGAGGGCACACTTTTATAATATCACAGACAATGATTCAATAGAAAGAATTACATGTACAGGTAGAGCATACTTGCTATTTTTGTTGGATTGTACACTTTTCAGTGACAAGACTAGTACTAGGGTCCCTGTTGTTTATTTGAGTTTGTTGTTCGATTTGACAACTGTATCTTCATATGCTTGGGGTGCTGCTGCATTAGCATACTTATATAGACAGATGGGGTACGCTAGTAGGTCCGGCGTGAAACAAATAGCCGATTACATGACACTCCTTCAGGGATGGATTTATGAGCACTTTCGTGGATTCTGACCATACTTTAATATGAATTACACTCGAGACATGCCACATGTTTACCATTGGACTTCTTGGAGAGAGTCTGGTGAAGAGACACAGTTGCAGACTTTTCGAGAGGAGCTTGATAGGTTGGGTGTACATGATGTAAGTTAAAAAGTCCTTCAAAATTTGAAACTCTATATCATACACAATTTACAGTTGTCATATCTTACAGTTGTTATTGTTTGTAGGTTATTTGGGACCCGTACTAGAGTTGCAGAGATGTCCATCCGTGTCACCCAGTTACGTTCTAACACGGTTGCCTAAAGTGTTTGGAAGTAGTGAACCATATCACCGTAATAGAGTTTTGAGACAGTTTGGCAGAGTGCAGACAAATCCTAATCCACCACTTGGCCCTATGCGTGCTTCTTAAGAAACCATAGCCCCACGCTACAATGTTATGTATGCATACTTGGATATCATTTATGAGGCATGGGACAACCATATGTTATCTGATCGGAGGAGAAGTACACCGGTACGACAACCTTGGGATTGCGTTCCTGGTTACATGGATTGGTACCAAACCATTACCCCTATGTATGTACAAAACCCAGTGCGTCGTTCTCGAGTGGACCCGAATATCTATCATTATCAGTATCCTAGCCAAGAATCACAAGTATCCTTTTTTTCATTTACATTGCAAATTATTTATGTAAATTGTTACAAGTTTGTATATAATGTTATATTTGTTCTCGTAATGCAACGTATGCAGATATATCGGATTACTCATCATTTCATTAAGGCCGGCTATGAGGACAGTGTTCAACATCCTAATAGGCTTTACTACGCAATTGATGCAATCAAATAACTTCTTCAAGATCAGCACATTAGTGAAGCTGCGGCCAGCACATCCATTTAGGGTCGATCTGCACCCAGCTCTTCCACTGCGCATCATTTTGGAGCACATTACACTCACCGACCACATAGTTGATAGTAGTTCATAATGTTAGCATAAGTAGTTTTTGATGGTGTTGGTGGATGTATAAGGAGACAAATATTATTATTATCTTCGGATTATGTACTTTTTGGATTATGTACAAGTACACATGTAGTTTGTGATGGTGTGGATGGATTAAACTACTATTTAATATTATTATTATTATTATTTTACATACTTATTTAATTTTATTACTTTTTAATAGTAGTTGCACTTGGTAATATTATTTTCATTACGTTTTGTGTTCAGACAATGTAAAAATAATATGGCATCCATTCCATAAACTAGAGAACTATAACGCATATAATATTCTATTTAAAAAAAAAAACTGACCATTACAAAATTCAATAACAAAATGATATCCATCTCGTTACTTCATGCTAGTAAATCATAAAAACTAATGTCGTAAAGCTGTCATTACTACTCTCTAATACATCAATCTATGTCAACAACATAAAATGTCTCTCGAGTAGCAATATTAGGTCCTATGTTGTCTTTGAATTTTTTAATGCGTCTAACATATGTATTTTCCCATTTCGATGCACAAGGGTGATTGTGAACTTGCCAAAGCACGGCAATGGGAGGAACTGGATGACCGATCTCCAAAAATGGCTACATGTATATCCAAAAAATTACATATCTTTACCAAATACATAACATTTGCAATTACACAAATATTAGACAACAATGTTCGGTTATTTTCATAACTTATACCTGCACAAAATGATTTTCATTGACAAATCCGATGGCAATCTTACGACAATAAGCTAGGGTTAATGGCGGTGATCTCAAAGGTAAGAAAGTGAGACACTGTTGTAATGACAAGTGGTACAAGACTATATTATAAAATGATGCGATAAGATGCCCTATGTCAAGCATAGTCATCCAACAGCCTGGGCTATCTTCAAAATATGAAATGATGTGTGTCAGCTTCTCAACCCTCTCATGCGACCCATATAATACAACGTATTCATCTCTGTGATTATTCAATTCAAGTAGCAGATCACGTCTAAATTGCACCCAGTCATTCTCTCCAAAACCAAGTAAACCCGCAATAGCTCTAAAACCACAATTCTCATCACCATCTATATCCTTCATCAACTCTATGAATGGTATTAACATAGGCAGGAAGTCACCAGCATATGCATTTGGTAAACTTGTTCTTGTACGATATGTCTTTGTCTTCACATTCCGCTTCTTCTCATATACTTTCAAAGCTCTCTTTTTCTTTGACTGACTGGAAGCTAATGTGCTTTCTCTATTGTTATCAATTGCTATTTTAAACAGATCTCTCAGATGTGGAAATGGAGTCGTCGTTATCCTCCGTCGTTCATCACCACCGACCATACCGCATAATTTCTTTCTTCAGATAGATCTCTCTCTATCTATCTATCTAAAAATTGTGAATTGAATTTGAAACATGTGGGGAACTTTATTCATTATATAAGCAGATTCATAGCAAGATTCACAATCAGATTCATTAGGGTTTAGCAGATCAGTCTCCTCACTCTCGCTATTGTTCTCAAATCTGTTGATGATACAAAAGTATTTAGCTTCGAAGTTTCTTCGAATGTATGGTATGTGTATGTATATGTATATATGTATGTATGTCTCTCTAGATTTTTTTTGGAATATTCTTCGAATGTATGATATGTGTATGTATATATGTATATGTATATGTTTCTATCTCTGTCTCAAGATTTTTATTTTTTTTTGGTAGTTGATGTGTTTGTGTATGAAGTTGTAGTTATTTTGATTATTGATGTTGATATTGATGTTGATGAAAACAAAATAGATCGCGCCATTTTTTCTTGTTCTTATGTTGTGTTAAATAGATGGGATAGAGAGATCCTTAAACAGATAATAATTTTTTAATAGATAAGTTTGGTTTGGCTTGGTATTGCAATAGATAACTCTTTCATCTCTCTTGCAATTGCAATAGATATATATAAAACTTCAACACATAGAAAATATTTTGACATCAGATAGAGTTGGTTTGACAGATAGGAATAAAATTTGAACTGAAAAGATAAAAAAATAAATAAATAGATAAAAGGAAAGTTGAATAGATTGACAAAAAAATTAGACAGATAGAATTTTATTTGGATAAATATTTAAATAGATAAGGAAAATTTGAATTGAAAAGATTAAAAAAAATAAACAGATAGGGTAAAAAATTTAAACAGATAAGCAAAAAATTGAATAGATAGGAAAAAATTTCAACCGATAGGGAAATTTTTTTAACAGATAGCCAATGAAAGTTAATAGATAAATTAAGGGATAAAATTAGAAACAAAATGTCATTCAAAACAATAAAAAAGATTTTTCACCAAACTATTTCACAAAAGGTGGATCTATCCCTAATAAAAAATATTCACTTAATTTAATGTCTTAAACATCATTCAAATTGGATTTACCACTAAATTTCTCTAAAAAAATGTCTCTCGGGATTAAAAATCAGAATTAAAAAAAACAAAATGGGCCAACATTCTAAATAAATAATCAGTCGAGTCCAGCACAACCCAACTAAGGTTGGCTTAAAGAAAGAGACCAATATATTGGGGTGAACGTGTTTTTTTATTAATGTATTGTGGTATCAAGGTTGGCCCATTTTAACAACTTAGTTATGGATTTTATTTCTTTTACTTTTAGATCCAATTATAAATTTAGGTAGGTCCAGATTCCAATTGATCCAACCCAATGTAAGGGTTTAATAGATTTGGTGTTTGCTTCAATGTTTAATAATATTTTTTGAAGGGGATATTTAGCCTCCATTTGGGAAGTGGGCTGGCTTTTTGACTTTTTAGTTTTTTTAGTTATTTTAGCCTGGGCTAAAAAGCTTGGTTTGGGAAGGACTTTTTGGTATTTTGGCTTTTTTGACTTTTTTTTGTGAGAGAAAGTATAATGATTATGGGTTGGATGTAATGTTTTGTTTTTTGTGGCTAAAATAGCCTATTTTGCCTTTTGTGACTAAAATAGTCAAAAAAAACCCACTTTAGTTCTTCCCAAACGGATTAAGATTGTTATGTAAATAAATTATATTTGAATACATTATTTGGGTGTTTACTATTAAATCCCATTTAGGAGAGTAACGGTAACGTTACTCTTTATTTTTTATTAGTTAAAATATAAAAATTTTATGATTTTTATATTACTTAACTAATTTTTTATTTATGTGCTATAACATTACTCTTTATTTTACATATTTATCTACACAAACTAACTTAGCCTCCGTTTGGGAAGTGGGTTGGCTTTTTGACTTTTTGACTTTTTTGGCTATTTTAGCCTGGGTTAAAAAGCTTGGTTTGAGAAAGTCTTTTTGGCTTTTTGACTTTTTGACTTTTTTGACTTTTTTTTGTGAGAGAAGAGTGTAATGATTATGGGTTGGATGTGATGTTTTATTTTTTGTAGATAAAATAGCCTATTTTGTCTTTTATGACTAAAATAACCAAAAAAACCCACTTTAATTCTTCCCAAACGGACCATTAAAAATTCTCTCATTACTCTACAAATATAGTAGTTTTCAAAAATTTTGTTAAAATAGTTATCATACTAATTAATCCACCGGCGTGAGTAAAATAATATGAAATTAGTTATAATAACTAACGAATCTCTTTTAAATATCCCTTTTGGAGATGCTTCTACTAAAAATCTAGGGGAGCTTCTATTTACACACACAACATCCACTCTCTACACATCTCTGTTGGAAATGGTTATAAAATTCTGGAAAAACCAGAATTTTTTCCTAAGTTCGGTCTATTTTTTAGGTGGGCCCCGAGTGTTGATTTACTCGTGTCAAAGTGGTAACGCGTTCTATGCCGCGTTGTGATTCACGTGGTATATTTGGTTGCTCAAAACCATTACCGAGTGAATGGGAAATTGAAGCCAAAGTGTGCTCCATGGAAATGGAGTTTTGGTGGAAATTCCTTAAGGTTGTAAATTGGCTTATCCCACATTGATTTGGTGGGAAGTTTTGAAAGGGTTTATAAGGCTTAGGGTGAGATACTTGGGGTGGGTACCCAAGTGTTTTAGAGGGAAAGGTTATGGGCAAAATGGGCTAGACTCATTGGACCCAAAAATCACCACACGCGCGCGGGCTGGGCTTGGGTGCGTGGTGTGTGGTTGGGTTGGGCTTCTAATCTTTTTGGGTCAAAAACATTTGAATTTTATTTTATTTTTTATTAAAATAAAATTCAGAATTCAATAAACTGGTTTGGATTTATTGTTTATCCAAACAGGGCCCTTCCCGTTTTCAAACAGAATTAAACTGTTTTGGATTTAGTGCTTATCCAAACAGAGCCCTTCCCGTTTTCAAACAGAATTAAACAGTTTTGGATTTATTGTTCATCCAAACAGGGCCCTTCCCGTTTCTATCTGTTTGAATAAACAGATTCAAATCTGTTTAAATTTGAATCTAACAGGTTTCATACCTGTTCAATTCAAAACCTACAGCCACCATTACATCTATAAATAGGGCAATCCTCATTTGGATTTTGTAACTCTAGTTTTCGTCCTTCATAATTCTGCAAACATCCTCTTCATCTTGCTGCATTATTTTCTTGTCAGAGAGAGTATAAACACTTAGTGTGTTCGTAAGGCAAACAATTAGTAGTGCTGCTATTGTTTGTGGTAAGATCATTTCATCCTGAGAGATAGACGTCTAAATTCTGAAAGTACCGTGGAGATGACGAATCTGTCTTAAGGACACAGTGTTAAACACTGGACTTGATCAGAAAAATAATTTCGAAGAAATTAAATCAAGTAAGTTATTTAATTACTTTCAGTGTTGTTTTTATTTGGTTATTTATTCAGATTTTAATTTTGTTTTTGTAACAAAATAAAATCTGTTTTTATATTTATTTTATTTTCGAGTTTGATTTTTGTAATCAAACAAATTCTCTCATTTATCTATTTCTTTTATTCTTGTTGTTGTTTTGTACACAACAGAATTTAATCTATTTAAATACAGTGAAGATTGTTCCAACAATCTCTCCTCACTACACTTCACACACACCTCCTTCATTAAGTGTGTGCATTGAGGGTATTATGTGTGGTGTATATAGAAGCTCCCAAAATCTAGTGATACACAAGGTCGTGTGTAATTGTTATGGACACATTTACCCTCCAAATGAATATCAGAACTCTATTCATAGTATTCTGTGAAATAGACATTGGGTTGCAAATGTAAAATATGAAACTTATCTTAAAATCACATTGTCCGAAACCATTGGTCTGCAAGTGTAAATCTGAAATATGAATATCACAACGGATTGATTTGAAACATGAACAACAATATTTGAAATATGAAAATCGCATTTAGATGTTTGGTTTGAGTTTTTTGAATTAAATTTTTTGAAAATGAGTTTTTTGGTTTTCGTATTTTTTTTTGTTTTTAGTTAATATTTTTAAAATTTTAAATATTTTTTTTACTTTTTTAGATGTACCTTACTTAGAAATATCTAAAAAGTAAAAAATTTGTGAAAAAATATTTTTAAAATTAATAAATACATAAAAATGCAAAAAATGTATTGAATTCTCGTATTTTTTTTTTGTATTTTTGGTATTTAGTGAATTTTTAAAAGGTTTTTTTCAATTTTTTTTTTTACTTTTTAGGTATATGTATGTTAGGTATGTTTAAAAATTAAAAAAATTGCTCAAAATATTAAAAAAAATTAGTAAAAACAAAAAAAAAACACTAAAAATAAAAAAGTAGAATTTTCTGAAATTTTTTTTTGAAAAATGATAACCAAGCATAGTAATTGTATTTATTATTATGAAAGAAACATAAACATCAAAATTTCATAAATCTGATTTCATATATTCTAGAATTTCATACATGAGGAATAAAAACAAAACACTTATTGTTCAGACCTTGTGTTTCATTTAAATGCATTGACGAACAGTGATAACTCAATTTCAACAACAACAACAACCAAAAACAAAAAAAAAAAAAAAAAAAAAACCAACCTTTTAAAAAAAAAAAAAAAAAAACCAACTCTTTAGAAAAAATGATTATCTGAATAATGGGGAAAAAAAACAAACAGAGATATCCTTTGGTGAACTAAATACAAACACAAAATCAAAATAAAGCTTCAATAATTTGTCAATGAATACTTGATGGTTGCTAATCAAATGGCAACCAGGGCGGACCCAGGATTCGTCGATGGGTTGGGCTAATATTAAGGTAAAATTATACGATATATTTTAAGTATAACCATATAAGAAAAAAGAGAATTTAATAATATAATCTAAATTAATATCTAAATTTATTGATTAGAAACAATCTAATTAAGTTGTACTCAACGAGATTATTCGAATTCATCGATTACAAAATCTAGATCAATTTT